GTATCCACTCCTCCGAGGTGTCCTGCCAAATTGCCACTCGGCAACTTCTTGCCAGCTATCCTGATCTCACAAGTCCCATTTTGAGTGCTTTTACACAGCCACACGAAGTTTTGCATGACATCCAAAACACGGGTCTTCTTGTGTTTCCGCGCCCCGTTGTCTCGCCCCTGCACGTCTGGCTATCGCTAACACCGAGTTCGAGCATATGCTTCAGATGGACATTATCCGTCAACCTCAAAGCCCATGGGCCTCGTCCCTTCACATGGTCCCAAAGACTGCCATTGGTGACTGCCCTTCCTGCGGTGACCACGGTGGCTTTAATAACGTCACCCCCATTTGACTTCTTTGAGTTCCTGCGCATGCCGATTCAACTCCGTAACGATGCCCAAACCCTCCAGGGGTTCGTAGACAGAGTGCTTCGCGACCTCATTTTTGTCTTCGCCCACAACGAGGACGCCTCGGTTGGCAGTTCCCCCATCGCCGACCACATGGAGCTTTTCATAACGGTGGTTGACTGCCTTCAACAGTTTAGCGTTGTCCTCAATCCATCCAACTGTGTCTTTGGCGTTCACCCTCTCGAGTTTCTTAGACAAACGGATCATATCAATTATCATACCAATTATCTCTCCTTAAAGGTGGTTGTCATCCGTGAATTCCTGCCTCTTTCTTCCGAGCGTCAACTCCAACAATTTTCGGGCTTGGCGAATTTCCACCACCCTTTTCTCCCTAACTATGGCGACACCATTCCGAAAATGGGTATCCTCTGGACTTTTTTGTCAATGCATACAACAACAGTCCAAAGACCAGCGCCAATCCAGAACTGCAACGACTAAAATGGGCCAAAGCCAACAAACCGGCAAACGCTCCCATATGACCTCGTCGAAGGACAGCTACAAAAATACCAAATACAGATTGCACACAAGCCAGCAAGTACACTGCGCACCCAGCTTGTACACCCTAAGGACAGGGTTAACTCTTTCAACAGAAAGGAAGTTGTCTACAAAATATCGTGTATCATTTGTGATGCGGTCTATTGTTGCCAAACCGGGAAAGCTCTATCCACCAGCATACATGAACACCAGTTAGCGGTGAGGAGGTGAGACCCCCTTCCCAGATTGCAATGCACACACTGGACACAGGACACACATTTGTATAGGAGAAAGCCCAAATCGTTGGCACCTGCCCAATTAAAAAGGGCCGCGAATTCCTGGAGGCAATGCACTCAGATGAGGCATGCATTAACAGGAATATCGATCTGGATGTGAATTACAAACCACTAAAGACCAAATTGAAGCAAAAGCAGCCACCACTGACTATATGATCAAATACGGATGACAATTATCCCCCACCGGACCGCATAATCACATGCAAGTGATAATTATTCCCCCACTGCCCGCATAATCAAATGCGGATGATGATTATATTCTCACACTCCAACACAATAAATAATCCTGTGTTAGTCATCGGTTTAAATTAACTGTTTTTGCACATATCTCATCCGTCTGGCGACGAGCTGGGGAACCAGACTCTAAAATTCACCTAATAAACAGTATTCTTTCCCAAAGAACCTTATTGTTCATAAAATATATCTATGGTATTGAGACACGGATATTCTAAGATATGTTATCAAGAAGAGAAGAGATTCAT